TTAAATTCAGTTGCGTTCACACTTGATTGTTTCTGCTGAAAAAAATGTAGAAAGTGTAGACACAGGAAAAAAGGTGAAAAACGCACGTATCCAAAAACGAATCAGAACAAAGAAACACATAAGCAGTGACGTCATAAATCGTGATTTTTGTTGTTTCTCTTTAAACCCTTGTGGCTGTGCTTGATTTGCAACAGGTACACCACGGGAGAGAGAGAAGCCCACTATAAAATGCAGCCGCGTCCTCTATAATCCCAAGTAACCAATTCATCGACCTTAGAAGCGAGTTTCAGAGAAGTTAACGATGAGCACCACAGCGACGAACAAGCAGGTCATATTCAGAGACTACGTGAGTGGTTTCCCCAAGGAATCCGATTTCGAATTCACCACCACCACCGTCGAGCTTAAGGTTCCGGAGGGTTCTAACTCGGTACTGGTGAAGAATCTCTATCTGTCATGCGATCCTTACATGCGGATTCGCATGGGGAAACCTGATCCCTCAACTGCTGCTCTTGCTCAATCTTACCCTGTTGGTCAGGTAAACCACGAGAATCTAGTTTAATCTTGCATTGATTATTCTCCGATTACGGAAATCTCCGGCGAAATTCCGATCAGAATGTATTTGTTTTCCGGTTTGCATGTTTGATTCGAGCTCGTTTCTTCTTATGTCTTGAGATTATAATATGATTTTCTTTTGGTCTTTTGGATTGAGTATTTTATTGTGTGGCCAGTACGATTATAATAATACTCGAAGTGAATAGGATTTTGAAAATCGGATCATTTCTGTAAACTGGTAATGTTTCATATCCAGAAATCTCTATGGATGCTTCTTATTTTGTATAAGCTAGATGACAATTATACTTATCCTTTAGATTGGTGTTCTTCAAGGCTATGAGAAGAAATATTGGGTTGATTTGGGTTTTGCATTTTTACTCTCTCTTTCTCTCGTCTTGACTGTTCCATTGTGTGTTTTGGTGCAGCCAATCATTGGGTATGGAGTGTCTAGAGTTATAGAATCTGGACATCCAGATTACAAAAAGGGTGACTTACTTTGGGGGTTTGTTGGATGGGAGGAGTACAGTGTTATCACCCCAATGCCTAATAATCACTTCAAGATCCATCATACTGATGTTCCATTATCCTACTACACTGGACTTCTCGGTATGCTATCTCGGCCTTGCTCCTGTTTGTCTGTTATCACTTGGTAACTTCAGGATAATGCCAACTAGTGTTGGAGTTTTATGGATGTCTAAAAACACTTAAAACGTTGTTTGAAACGTAGGAACGAAATAAGTTAGGTCGAGGTTTAAAGTACGATCTAGAAGACTAGAGTTTCAATAGTAATTGTTGAAAGAGGAGTCTAGTCTCTTTGATATAATTCCGTTCTTCATGGGTTTTATCTGTACTGACAGGTATGCCTGGCATGACCGCCTATGCTGGGTTTTATGAAGTTTGTTCTCCAAAGAAAGGAGAGACTGTTTATGTGTCGGCTGCATCAGGTGCAGTTGGTCAGCTTGTGGGACAGTTTGCAAAAATGATGGGTTGTTATGTTGTTGGAAGCGCCGGAAGTAAAGAAAAGGTGCGCAATTGATCGTCATTTCTATATTTTTTTTCCTCGTATTTGTTGGCTTGCCGTCAAGATAATGACTTGCCCTTTTTCTTTCTCTTGATTTGTTAGGTTGATCTCCTCAAGACCAAGTTCGGGTTTGATGATGCATTTAACTACAAGGAAGAACAAGACCTTAATGCTGCTTTGAAAAGGTTAGTAATTACTTAATTTTAAAGTGATATATATAGAAAACCACGAGCAGTAATTACTTCAGGCTCAATATCTTCGTTGATAACTTTTAACAATTCACAACTATAGTAGATATATATGAATACCATATTAGAGGGTTTTACTATTGCAATCCTGGAATTACAAAGGATAATATGATCTTCACCAATAACTGTATAATACGACATCCGGCAACTCTTATCAACTGTGACTAATCTACGAGATACTCTGTTTTTTTATTTTCCAGGTGTTTTCCCAAAGGCATAGACATATACTTTGAGAACGTAGGAGGCAAAATGCTTGATGCAGTGCTCTTAAACATGAACCTGCATGGGCGTATTGCAGTCTGTGGAATGATCTCACAATACAATCTTCAGGACCAAGAAGGTGTACACAATCTATCATCCATAATCTACAAACGAATCCGAATTCAAGGCTTTGTAGTCTCTGATTTCTACGACAAATACTCAAAGTTCTTGGAGTTTGTGGTTCCTTGCATAAAAGAAGGGAAGATAACGTATGTGGAAGATGTTGCAGAGGGACTCGAGAAAGGTCCTGAAGCTCTTGTGGGACTCTTCCATGGAAAGAACGTTGGGAAACAAGTTGTTGTGGTTGCTCGTGAGTGAAGGAAGAGTAATGATAGTGTTAAGATGTATTGATGATGAGTTGTGTTTGTGGTAACTAGAATTGTCCTTACAAAGACCAAAGTTTGCCTTTTTATTTCTGATATTGTTGCATATTTATGCATAAAGAGTGTTTAGGGGTGTGGCTTCGAATCAGATTCTGTGTCCCTTGTTAAATATACTAGTTTACAAATAAATTTAAGTTTTCGTTTAGATTGTTATAAATCATAGTGGATTGTCATAACTAGTTCTGGTTCAGTATAGCCCGATCCGGTCCGATCCATCTATACTTAGTCATAGGGTAATTTCCTTTTCTCTTTAGGAAAAGGAAAGTAATTTTCTTTTCTCTTAGGAAAAGGAAACTTCCTTTTATCACATGTATTGATCCTTATATAAAGGATACTTGATTAATGAAAGAAGATACGAATTTTCCCATTCTCTTTCTCTTTATTYACA